TGCATAGGATGTGTGTTCATGAGATACTTCAGAGTATTACCTCTGCTCGTGTTTTTTGGTGTGTATACTTGTGCGAGTGTATATATGCATTTATGAGAACACATATGTGTGTGCAGTGGTGTTTGCACACATCCATGTGTGAATCAAGTGTGCAGACAAGTATCTGTGTTAGAAGAGCCAAATGTGAGAAGTCATCAGAAGTATGGATAGGAAATAGATTTCCTGGTAGAAATGCTGGCAAGTCAGTCTTTCCCTGTTTCATCGTCCACAGAATGGTACTTGCCTCATCAAATATTGCCGTTGAGCCTATTTCAGCACACGGTGACCTTGTGCGTTACAGAGCCGACCAGCTCCATAGGGCTGACTTAACCCTTTACCGAAGCAGACAGTCAGCCCTTCCTTCCATGGGGCTGCTTCTACCAAACAGGAGCTGCTGTTATTTTCTGCCAGCAAGTTGAATCCAGCTCATAGCGACTCACACCAGCCCATGTGCAGCAGAATGAAACACACCAGGCCCCACGCAGGTCTCATCATTACTGCTGTGTTGAACCTATTTCTGCAGCTGCTGTGTTGGTCCAGCTCTCTGAGGGTCTTCTTTCCCACTGACTGCTTTACTGAACACGATGTCCCTCTCCAGGGACTTGTCCCTGCTGGAACATGTCCCAAGTACCCAAGGCAAGCTTCGTCATGCTCACTTCTAAGGAGGCCACACTTTGTCCCAGTTATACTTGTTTGTTCTTTTGGCAGTCCCTTTTATATCGCTGTGGTGGCTCAGTGGCAGGAAGTCGCCCTGCCAGCACAAAAGCACGTGGTTCAAATCCACCAGCTGCTCCACGGGAGAAAGATGGGCAGTTTCCTCCCGTGTAATTTACTGCCTCTGAAAACCTTCTGGAAGGTCCACTACAGGTGGGTTCGGACTCAATGGTACATAACAATTCTTGGCCAACACTGCATTTCAAACACATCAGTTTATTCTTCAGTCTTCTTTGTTCATTGCCTAGCTTTCTCAAGGATATGAAGCCATTGAAGACTTCACAGCTTGGGTTAGATTAATCTTACTCCTGACTGACATCTTTGCTCTTTAATATTACAAGGTGGTCCTGACAGCAGATTTACTCAAAGAAAACACTTCTTTTTATTTCTTGACCATTGCTACAGTGTGTTGATTTTGGGTCCAAGTAAAATGAAATCCTTGACAACTTCTGTCTTGTCTCCGTTTATTGTCACGTTGCTAATCAGTCCAGTTGTGAGGGGTTTTGTTTTCTTGATGATAAAGTGTAATCCATACTGAAGACTGGAGTCTTCAATCTTCATCAGTTAGTGTTTCAAGCTCTCTTCATTTTTTAATGAATTTGCCACAAGTAACTTTGTGGCATCTACATATTGCAGTGTTGGACAAGTCTTCATCAATCTTGATGACACGTTCTTATTCATAAGGCCCAGCTTCTTGGATTGTTTGCTCAGCGTGCCAATTGAGTAAATACGGAGAAAAGATAGAACCCTGTTGGTTACCTCTCCTGATTTTTTCCCCTCATCTCTCACATTTGATTCCTTTCTTGATTATAAACCATACTGTATCCTTTGTTTTCCATTTAATGATTGTTCTTGGTCTATCTACAGGTTCTGCATGAATGCAAGTGGTATGGAATTTTCCTTTTAAGAAATGTTATCCCTAGGAGAGCTCTGGTGGCCTAGTGGTAAGGAGCTGCAACTACAATCCCAGAGGCGCACGCTTCGAATCCACCAGATGCTCTGCCGGGGAAGGAGGGACAATCTCCTCCTGTACCAGTCAGATCTGATTTGACGGTACACTCACACAAAAATAATAAAATAAAAAAAAGAAATGTTATCCCTAATTTGTTATAATCCACACAATTGAAGTATGTCCAAGGTGCATCTGATTCAAGCCATGGTCTTTCGGATCACTGGCTATGCATCTGAGAGCTGGACAACGAATAGGGATGACAGAAGAAGAATTGACACCTCTGAGCCATGGTGTTGGAGAAGAACACTGAACATCCCATGGACGTCCAAAAGGACAAACAAATATGTCTTGGAGAGGGTGCAGTTGGTTCCTCTTTGGAGGCAAGGACGATGAGGGTTCATCTCAAATACTTCTGACATGTTGCTTGGAGGGGCTATTCTTTGGAGAGGAGTATGATGATTGGAATGGCAGAGGGTCAGTCAAGGAAAGGAAGACCCTCAACTAGGTGGACTGATGCATTGACTGTTACAATGGACTCTAATGTGTCAGGAAGTGTGAGGATGGCACAGGATAGAACAGGGTTCAGATCTGTTGTTTATAGGGTCGCTATGAATCATACTCGACTCAACAGCACCTAACAACAACACAACTGAATGTCTTGGCAGAGTCAATAAAACTCTCTACTTTTTTGCACGACCCATCTGATACCACAATGATATCCCCTTCCATGTCCTCTAAATATGCTTTGAATTTTTGGCAGCTCCCCGTCAATATGCTGCTACAACATTTGCTTTTTGTTTTGTTTTGTTTTGTTTTGTTTTTTCTTATCTTCAGCAAGATATCTTCACTTGTGTGTGATATAAATGATATTGTTTGACTATTTCTTCTTCCCCTTGAACCACCTTTCTTTGAGAACGGCCACAGAGACACTGTCTTCTAGTCACCTGACCAGCTGTCCTCCAAATTTCTGGGTTTAGATGAGGGACCCTTTCCAGGACCGCATATACTTGTTGAAACATCTCAATTGGTATTCTGTCAATTTCTGGATTCTTGTTTTCTGCTAGTGCCTTCAAGGCAAGTTCTAAGTGTTCCTTCAACATTATTGGCTCTTGATTATATGCTCCCTCTCGAAAAGGCTGCCATTCTTCCAGTTCTCTTTGGTACCATGATGCTGGGTTTTCCTGCTATCTGCTATGAATGCTTCCTGCATCCTTCCACGTTGTGCTCAAGGATCTCTTCAGTATTGCAGCTTAAGGCTTACATTTTTCTTCCCCTTCCTCCATTCTATCACCTGGAGCAATGCCAAGCATGTTCCTCTCTTCTGCTTTTCTAACACTGAGACTTTGAACATTTCATGGACGACCCTTTTCATGTAACATCCTCCTGCTTCATCATTTCTTCTCTTTGCTCTCCTCCCATATCCATCCGGGTTCTTCCTCTTTCTCCTGTCTTTGTGATGGCTCTCTGCATTCCTCATGTGTGACGTTCTTGGTAATATGCTTGGTATTGGCCTGCGACTCCTGTGGGTGGCGCTGTTGAGTGGGGTTAAACCGCCAGACCTCAGGTGAGTGGTTCCAGTAGAAACTGCTCCATGCAGGTATCTGCCTACCTCACACTCGACTCAGAAAACTCACTGTTGTCAAGGTGATTTCCATCTGCTTTCCAAGGCTGTTAATTCTTCCCCCCCTCCCATTTTTTTATTAATGATTTTTTAAATTATATATATATATATATATATATATATATAATTTTTACAGCATATTATTTCCATTTAACTTTCCCCCATTAATTCATTGTTGCACATTTTCCTTGCAGCCCACCACTCACCCCAGTTCATTTCTCTCTTTGAAAAAAAATTATTTCATTGTTATACAGTCCCCTCAAGCCCACAGTCCACTTTACTATGTATTTCTTTTCCTGTAATCTTATCATGAAAATAATACCCAATACTATATTCCTTTTAAACAGTCCTCTCCCTCATCTGTTTCAATGCAGTATACATTATTTTTTTAATGAAAGTTTATAGAGACTTTGGATTTACATTCATTCATTGTTTCACATTTTCCTCCCTGCACACCCCTTCCCCCAGTTGGTTTTTCTCTTTGAAAAGTAAAAAGAAAACAATATTATTATTATTGTTGTTATTATTATTATTATCATCATCATCATTATTATACAGTCCCTCCAAGTCCTCTCCCCCATGAAACTCTCATTCTGAACTTTTGTCATGACAATAATACCTAATCATATATTCCTTTCAAACAGTTCTCTCCCTCAATGCAGTATACATTAGTTATAACCTCTTTTCTTAGATTCCCCCTAACCTCTATGTCAGTCCTGTTTTACAACAGTGACACCATGCAGTATTTGTCCTTTTGTGACTGAGATATTTCACTCAGCATAATATCCTCCAGGATCACCCATTTTGTATAATATCTCATGAGTTCCTTGTTTTTCAATGCTCTGTGATATTCCACTGTGTGAATATACCACAACTTTTCTATCCATTTTTTTGTTGATGGGCACTTGGGTTGTTTCCAACTCTTTGCTATTGTGAACAAAGCCGCGGTAAACATGGGTGTGCAGAGGCTGTTAATTCTTATGGGAAGAGACTGTTCGTCTTTCTCCTGTGGAATAGTTGATGGATTTGAACTGCCAGGAAAATATTTTGGTTAGCAGCCTAGTTTGGGAGGGACTGACTATGATACCAGAGCTCCTTATAAACTGCCTCATGTAGTTGTTTCTGTTGTATCCCCTAGAGTCAGAATTGACCCATAGCTGACTCTCTGGTGGGTTTTCATAGGCAGTTAATCACACTGGGAGGAGATTGCCCATCCTTCTCCCACAGAGCGGCTGATGGCCTTAAACCACGTGCTTCCAGGATTGCAGCAGTGCTCCTTGCCACTATGCCAGAAGTGCTCCAAGCTACCTCACACGGCTTATTAAGTTAAAGGGGGGAGGAGGAGAAGTGGAAGAAGGAGAAAATAGCAAATATTTCTGTAAACCCCTCACTGGCTGGCACTCAGCATATGCTGTCTCATTTAATCCTCTCATCTGTCTGTGATGTATCCCCCATTCCTTAGATGAGGAGGTGGAGACAGAGAGATGAAGTTAATTGCCCAAGGTCACCCAGTTGGGAAGCAGGGCCACTTGGACTTGAACTCAATCTCAGCTGCTTTCAGGCCTATCATGCTCCCCAGCCTCAACCTTTAAACCCGTGCTATACTCCCACCTCTATCTCTAGCTAGGCCCACTGTACACTCCAGCCTCTACCTCCAGCCTCTTGTACCCACAGGCTCTTTAAGGGGCATCCCGAGACCCTGGAGAAGTTCGACAAGTTCAAGCACCTCAAGACGGAGGATGAGATGAAGGCTTCCGATGACCTGAAGAAGCATGGCACCACCGTGCTCACCGCCCTGGGGGGCATTCTCAAGAAGAAGGGGCAGCATGAGGCGGAGCTGCAGCCCCTCGCCCAGTCCCACGCCACCAAACACAAGATCCCCGTCAAGTACCTGGAGGTAGGAGGAGACGCGCGGAGGCAGAGGATAGGGGATGAGGTTCACCCTCAATGCCACTAACCTGGTAGATGACCTTGACTTTGTCACTTCCTGGGTGTCCTAGTTTTCTCCGCTGTATAATGGGGTGGCCATCTGCTTTCCCTTCCTCTTGGGATCACTGAGGGTAAACACATCCCTTCCACAAATAAAATTAGGGTAGTGTTACCGAGGGATGGTGAGAGGAACGCTGGGCTCACAATGCCTTCTCTCTGTGGGTGGAGGCTGTTATCATTGAGCCAATGGACAAGGGAGGAAATTGAGGCACATGGAGGTGGAATCACTTGATCACGGTCCCAGAGGGAGCAGACAGCAGAGCCAGGATGCTAACCCAGGTCTCCATCACTCCTGAACCCCATAACCTAGGGTCTGTGTGACCTAGAGTGCGGGATCCTTAAGACAAAAAATGTAGTGATTCTTATGAGATGGGCTCTCCTGGCTCTGGACCCTGTACATGTAAAGAGCCCTAGGTGAGGAACTGAGGAGACCTGGACTCATCTGAGCTTAAGAGTTTCCCTCTGGGATTGCTAGGGGAGGGCGTGGAGAGCCATCGTTGTATTTCTTCTTCCCCTTCCATCAACACCTTGCTGTTGTTATGTGCCGTTGAGTTGCCTGCGACTCATAGTGACTCCATGTACAAGAGCCCTAAATGCCGTTCTATCCTGTGCCAACCTCACCGTCTCAAACACATTCATTCCCACCATTCCACTCACAGAATCGATCCATCTCATCAAAGGTCTTCCTCTCCTGGGCTGCGCCTCCACTCTCCCAAACATGATGTCCCTCTCCAAGGACCAGTCCCTCCCTGCAACATGCCCAAAATATGTCAGACGAAGCTTCAGAATCCTTGACTCCAAGGAGCATTCTGGCTTC